AGCAGGGGGCAACTGAGTAGTGAAAGCATGGAGGTAGGAAGTAAGAAGGAGTCGCCCTAAACAAGTTTCTCCGTACCCTGCTCTGAAGCACCGGCGATCCCTACGTGGTGACCAAAACATTGGGTCATTTATCATTGAGTTCTATGGGATTTGACGCGTTCGGGTGTAAATATTTTGTAATTACGTCGCAAATATACATATAAATGTATATATTTTCTTTTTCTACAACACTTCAGAGTCCTAAGTATGTGAAAACAAATATTTTTAAACAACATTTCATTCTGAACGGAATTAAATGCTATACTTTTCACAGGACAGTTTCTCAGAATGGTTTAATTTGAATGAAATATTTTCACAAGTTTTCGTTAATTACATTAGAAAAAAAAATTAAGGTAATTTGATTTTATTCGGTTAAGGTACAAAAAAGATCAAAGTTTATTGTATTATTAATATTAAAATTATGCATTATTTCTTTTCTATTTATAGAGCTTCTTCCTAAAATACTTTCTTAAATATGACATGATTTTTTTTGGCTTCTTTTAAATCGAAAATGTAAGTCAATTTATAATTAATGCTCTATTCGGTTCATTTTAAATTAGAGAATTATTAGGAATTAGCGAAATACTTTAAATAAGTATTTCGCTAATTCCTAATAATTAAATAGGTAAAATAGTATTGACTTTTCTCTGAACATTTCTGAAAGGGAATAAAACAAGTTTTTTTTTTTTTTTTTTTTTAAGTATTATTTAAAACTTGTAACTGAGTTATTATAAAATGTAAAAGGGAATAATTCTTTTAATTATACTTATCAGATTTTTTTTTTACCCTTCATTTCAACAATACATATTCCAAAACTCTTATTACGTTCTTAAGTGCGCATCTCATAGCATTTGCTTTTACAATACCTTTTAACAGATTGCTTTCCAATACGAACAATTCTTGCTTAAATAGTTTTTATAACGTATTTGTCAACAGGATTTCAATTTGTGTTTACTATTCATATTAAGGTTATTATATATTTAGATAACATTATAATCATTATAAATTAGATACATTTTAATCATAGATTTCTTCACAGTACTTTTACAGTTGTTTATAAGTGAATAAATTCTTCATTTTCAAATACGTTATAATAATTTAATGAATATTTAAGTATTTTGTCAAAGGCAGATACATGCTTTTTTTGCAAGCACATGCATAAATACCCATACATATTTCCTATTTATCATTTCCGGCATGTGCAAATCTTTAATTTCTGTGCATTCACTATATTTTTCGTTGTAAAGTAATTTACACTAATTTAGCATACACCCGAAAGTTTTACATAAAATATATATGAATATAATTTGAATGAAAATTATAAGTATTATTTTTAATACCCATCAAAGGTCATTTTTTCTTCAAATTCCTCCACGATGGCATCTCTCTCTTTAGGCAGATAGCCCTTGCATGCGTTACTCTATTTAATAAAAACTTATCTGACCAATGTGCCTAATTACAAATATTTTAACATACATAATTTTATATTTACATTTGCCATCAAGTTTCAAACTTTCAAATCTTCTAGAAAATAAATTTTGGCAGATCTCTTTTAGCAATTTTCTTAAAATCTATATTTTTGTAGTGCAACAAGCTTATAATTTATAAAACAAATTCATAATCAAAATCGCTCTTGTTAGTTATCGAAAAATAACCAAGATGTGATTTTTGCGTAAATGTCACTAAATTATACAAATTGCTATTTATCATCCCACTATGAATGTTTCCTTTCATGCGAAAGTGTCCCTTTTCGATTTCTCTGGAACTGGGCCTGTTTCGAAATACTATCAGAATCTTGTCAGCGAGCTTCTGAATGTAAACAAAGAACAACCGTCTGGTGACCCAAGCTTCAAAGCAGTGCTTCACTTCTAGCGCGGAATGGCCCCTCCTCCCTTTCCTACCTCCATGAGTGAAAGAGGTGAAAATTGAAGGCAGTTACCTGCACGCGCCAGCGTGAATGGTATCTGAAACAGGCATGGAAGGTAGAAACAGGGCTGTGTCTACCCCTACGACGTCGGACGTTTAGCTCAAACATGGTAAAAATGTTAAACGTCCGACTAGTTGCGCAGAGACACTTTCGTGATTTGTGCGTATTCTGACCAGTCGTGAAGAGATGTTTGTTTACATTTGTGTTGATTATCGGAAGGGTGAATTCATTTTCCTTGTAGTGCTAGAATGTCAAGAAAAAATTATTTTTTGTTTCGTTTGATGACTAATTACTATTATTCTTTGGTAGATATCTAAAACTTTACATAAAATAAATAGCTTTAAATATATCTGAATATTATTCTTATTTTAAATTGCTCATGTTTGACCATTTTATACAGATACGGAGTTTACACAAATAATCAGAATTTCTTGAAATTCTTATCAACAGATTTAGATAAATCATGCATGCAAGCAGTAAAATCACATTCCTATGAAACGGAATTGAAAAATCATCTTAAAACCTTGTGTAACTCTTCTGTCATGCGTAGCTAAATATTTCTATAAAATTGCATACAGAAGCATTTATATACATAAAGAGTGTGTTCAGGAGATTAATTCAGAAATGTGTGTGCATATGCTTGTATGTACGGATGTAAATGTTCATGCAGCAAATGTATATGTGTGTACATACGTTTGTGTGTGTGCATACACACCTGTACGCACATACATACATACATTTTTGAATCCGGTCTCGAAGAAAGTCTTGCTGGAAAAGAAATGTAAAGAAACCTCCCGCCCACCAGCGGCCGAACGGTAAAGTCGCTGAACACTGGTAGTTCGGTCCGAGGTTCGAATCCCGCGAAAGGGCTGGCTGCATGGGCGTTTTCGTGGTTTTTCCCCATGTGTACGTTATACGAGCAGTTACCCTTAGAAAGTCCTCCACGAAGGCATCCCTCCCTTAGGCAGATAGCCCTCGAGGCTTTGCCATATCACACACACCAAAGAACCACCCAGCTCCTTTAAAAAAAAAAAAAAAAAATTAGCAGAATTTTAGTTTCTACAGCAAATTTTTGTGTGTCGGTTTGTTTTAAACTCATAAAACTCAAATTTTAATATAAAGACGTGAAAAATTTTGACCTTTGATAGTGTACCTGATAATTTATTAAAAATACAATTGACTCTCTTGCATGTCAGTTGTATACAAGACAAACATGACTCTCTTGTTTAATATGTACAAAATTATAATAAGGATAATTCTAGGTATTTTTTTATAAATATATGTGACTGATTACACACTCTGAATATAGAAAAAATAATCGCTTACAAATGACTTATGCAGTATTTGTTTTATTATCATATCCTGCCCCCATAAGCTCAAAAATAAAACTTTATACAGGAACACAGAAAGTCAATTTTGCTTCCAAATATATTTTATAATAGTGAAGTATGATAAGAGATGATTATTTTTGTTAGAAAAATTATAATGTCATGAATATTTTCGAAAAAAATATTTCCCTGAAAATATTTATATATTATATTAAGCTATATATATATATATTTTGTATGATCTTAAATCATTTGCAAATCGAGTTATTTTACTACTTGCGCAATTGCTGCAAAATCTTCATGTACATTCCCTTTTCTTATACAGTAGACGTTCGTTTTTACGAACCTCTTTTTTACGAACTCTCTCGATTTGACGAACTAGCGAATGGTCCCGAATACACTCCCATAGATGTAATGTAATTTTGCGCTCTTATTTACGAACTACAAATCAGGAAAATCTCTTTTTTGCGAACTCAGTTTTCATACTTCTGCGTGTTTCATTGGGACGAAGTGTGAAGGTCAAATAAAATCTCCAACTATTTTGAGGACAGCAAGTGCGAAACATTCGAAGAAGTACACAAGGAAGGAGGGGCGGAAGAGAAGGGGGAATTAGGACAAATTTATGGTGTTGTTTGTTGTGGGAGGCTCTCAGAAGAGCATCGGCCTGATGTTGTTGGGTGGGGGTGAGACCATTCGTGTTAAAGGGGTTTGGGTTGCTTCTAAAAGAGAGTTGTTGCTTTTTGTAATGTCATAGTCATTTGATCTGGACAACTCAATCAGTGAAGTCTCGTTAGTCGAGAGGGAGATTGGGCCAGTTTTTGTTAAGTAAGATTCTTAGAGCTATGTCGCAAATGAAGAAACGAATTTGTTTAGCGGTTGAAATAAAGAAGAAGATTTTAAAAGAAGTTGACGAAAAAATATTAAGCAAGACACAAATTGCTCAGAAATATGGAATTCCTAAAAATAGTTTATCGACGATTTTAAAGGCAAGAGAGAAGATCTTTGGAGCTAAAAACGGAAACGATGAATGTGGACCCTCCTCTCGAAAATATTTTCGAGAATCAAAACACCCAAATTTGGAAAGGGCTTTGCTTGTTTGGTTTCGAAAGATGAGAAGCTTAAACATTCCAATTGATGGAAATGTACTTAAAGGAACAAGCACACTTTTTTGCTTCCAAATTAAACATCAAAGATTTTAAAGCAAAAAGCATCGGATGGTTGGTTACAGAAATTTAAATTTCGGAATGGTTTGAGTTTCCGGAAAGTGTGTGGTGAAAGTGCAGCAGTAGACACGTCATCAGCAAATGAATGGAAAGAAGAAAAGTTGAAATTGCTTCTTTCTGAATACGCTGCAGATGACGTTTTTTAATGCGGACGAAACGGCTTTGTTTTTTAAGATTTTGCCAGAAAGAACATTAGCTTACAAAGGAGATAAATGTGTTGGAGGTAATAAAGCTAAAGAGACTTACAGTTTTTTGATTGCAGCCAACATGACTGGGTTCAAAAATTGCCTCTGCTCTTTATTGGAAAATATCTGAAACCAAGGTGTTTCAAAAATGTTCAGAAGATTCCTGCTGCATATTATGCTAATAATAAGGCCTGGATGACTGGCAACATCTACGAAAAATGGTTGAGAGATTTAGATAACCGTTTTTTCAGCAGAGAAGCGCAAAGTTCTCCTAATCGTGGACAATTGTACTGCACACATGGAAGTCACTGGGCTTCAGGCAATCCGTGTGGAATATCTCCCACCAAATGCAACTGCAGTTTTACAGCCAATGGATCAGGGGATAATCAATAGTTTCAAGCGAAAATATAAGACAGTGCTCTTGCAAAGAGTAATCCTTGGCTTGGAAAGGGAACAACCTTATCAGATTGATATTCTTGGTGCAATGCATTTATCAATCAGTGCATGGAATGATGTTTTAGATGAAACAATTTCTAAAGCCTTTCGACATGCAGGTTTTATTAAAGAAACAGACGTAACTGAAGAAATCCATGACAATAGATCTCACGACGAAGATGAGGTTTCTCATGCATGAACTTCGCCGTAGAAATCCACAGTTGCCAGAAACTTTCATTCGAGGATTTTTTTAAATGTGGATTCTAATGTCATCTGCACGGAGGAAATATCGGATCACGATATTATTAGCAGCATAATCAACGAGAATGAGAGACTTTCAGATCCAGAAGAAGAAGAAAAATGAAGTAACACCAAGACCGACTTTAAAACAAGCTGCTGAATACTGTCAGAACTTAGACGATTTTTTTGAGGCCAGTGATAATTGTGAAATGCTAACAAATATAGAGAAGATGGAGTCTTGCATTGTACAATCTGTTGTTTTAAAACAGACAAAGATAAGTGATTATTTTGTTGCTCAATGACTTAATAAAGGTACGTTTTACAAATATTTTATATTTCTTGTTTGTTTAATAGAATGGATATCATTTATTAAGTAGTATACTATTAAAAATAATTCCTAATACATAAATAAAAGCATGGAATAGTATCACTAACCTGTCTCGAAAACATTAAAATGTGAAATACTAACAATTTCCGATGCCTTTCTAAATTACGAACTCTCGATTTAACGAACTGTTTTCGTAGTCCCTACGAGTTCGTAAAAA